AGGCGTTTATGACTTCCGATGCAGTTGGCGTATGGACTGTAAGGAGCCCAGTGTAGTCTTTAACTGGGTGTGAGCACAGATAATGGTCCCACCTAGAGGATCCCCCTGACTGGTATGCCCTCAACCAAAGGAGTAGTTGCAACTGCCTCCAAGGCTAACAGGTCCGGTGTGTATTGATACCGGCTGCCTGAGACAGGGGGCAACAATCATTCTGTCCCACATAAGCAGAGCAAGTTTTCTATTGCACAATAGAGTGGGAGGGGGGGTTAGGGAGACATGCATGTCAGAGGGATTGGACTGCGGTCCAATTCAATGACACAAGATACTTCACCCAGTGTCAACCTCAGGGGAGTATCACTTGTGCGTGTGATGTGGATTATTATAAAACTGTTTGAAAGAATCAAAGGCAACACAATTGAACAACAGAATTCAAATGAGAAAATGGTTGAAATAATAGTTCTAATTAATTAGATCAATGATGTCGTAGTCCTTTAGATAGTTAATTGAAATCAGGGGACATGGCCAGATACAGGCAGTGGCAGAGTCGGCTGTTGGTAGTCGGGCTTGCCACTCTCCAGTTTGCCTTTGCAGGCAGAGGCCCCATGATTGGCCAGCCCACATGACCAACATTTTTGACTAAACCTGCATCAGGATGAAGCACAGCCTGTCACCCAGTTAAATCTTTGGCCGACCTCATCACTCAGTCTGTATGGGCGGGGCGTCAATCTGCTGGAGTGGTGGGAGGGGCCAGGGCACAGTCCTTCTTGCGATGATCATGCGACTGGCAGAGCCAGCAAACTGACCAGCCGCCTCAAGAACATTTGCAGCAAACATTGACAAATTCAGCTCCATTCATGGGAGGTCATGGCCTGCCCTCGGAGCTGACGGAAGTGAGTGTCGTATGACAACCCCCCGTGTTCATGAGCCAAGCCGGTTTAGAATGATCTGGCCGTAGGCCATTAGTTCTCCTGACCCCTGGTAATTGACCTTGGCTGCCCCGAAGGTCAAAGGGCAATGGAGCCAGGTCTCTACATCCCCAATCTCTGGCAGAGAGAAGGGCCGCTCAGCAGTCCAGAGTCTATGACCTTCTGTCATAGGGTAACTATTGTCCATTAGCAGATCACGGAAGTCTACGGAGGTGCCCAATCTGATGGCCTCCACGACCTTTCCAAGAACGAGTGGGAGGGGTGAGGGGAGGACTAGAGGTGGAGTCTTGGAGTGACCCAGGTTGGCCAGTGGCATAGCCAGCAGCGTGGCCAAGGAAGGAGGCGCCCCAGCTGGGAGTGAATGGTCAGTGGCTACCTGGTGCTAGAGTGCCAGATGTACCAAGATGGCTACCTGTCGACAAGATCGGGGCAGAATTCAGGACAATAGGTTGGAACCTATGGAAGGAAGAGTAAAAATAAGTGTCATTCTTAGAAGTGGGAGCGCCCATAGGGGGAGCGTCCCCATTGACTCAATAAAGACCCAGTGGGTTCAATGAGCATCATTCATAGAAGTGTGAATGCCTATAGGGGGAGCGTCCCCGTTGGCTCAATAAGGACCCAGCGGGTTCAATGAGCATCATTCATATAAATGTGAATGCCTATAGGGGTAGCATCCCCATTGACTCAATAAAGACCCAGCGGGTTCAATGAGCATTATTCATAGAAGTGTGAATGCCTATAGGGGGAGCGTCCCCGTTGGCTCAATAAGGACCCAGCGGGTTCAATGAGCATCATTCATAGAAGTGTGAATGCCTATAGGGGGAGCATCCCCGTTGACTCAATAAAGACCCAGCAGGATCAATCAGCATCATTCATAGAAGTGTGAATGCTCAAAGGGGGAGCGTCCCCGTTGACTTAATAAAGACCCAGCAGGTTCAATGAGCATCGTTCATAGAAGTGTGAATGCCTATAGGGGGAGCGTCCCCGTTGACTCAATGAAGACCCCGTGGATTCAGTGGGGAGTATGAGTGGTGGGGCGCCCACTGGTGCAGTTGAGTTGGGGAGGGTGCGACTCCTCCCGAGTGTAGTTGCCCCACCCCAAAAAGAGAGGGGGAGAGAAGGAGAGGAGAAGAGGATAGGAGATAATAATAATAACACAACATCACCAATAAAATAATAATAATAACAATAATAATAATAATAGAGAGAGAGATAGAGAGAAAAGGAAGAGAGGTGGGGCAAGGGGAATGTCCCAAGCAGTTCCAGCATAGCGGGGACATCCCATCAGAGTGACAAAATGGTGCTACAAACTCAAAAGGGGGTGTCACAGGCTAATAACAACATTTGTCAAAGAGGCAATGAAAAAGTAAGGGTGCATGGAATAGAAAAATGAAAGGCCTAGCAGTAACCCCACCAATCAACAACCCCTAAAGGATAACAGTACTTGAGAATGTGTGAATGTACCTGAAGAAATACAAGCTGGGCATAGAATAGGATGAGAAGCTAGTACACCTGGAGTAGCTGTGGTCGTGATGGACACTGGGATGCTGGCTGGAAACAAAGGGAGAGCTGGGCTCGTGACAGGTACTGGGGCTGAGGACACTGGTACAATGAAAGGCAGTCCCATTACAGAAGATGGGATAGAAGATGGAGGAGTCCCCTGGAGAGCTCCGTGCAAAAGATATTCCACACCAAGGGGATCCAGGAACTGAAGATCCTTCAGGGTAAGGGGAGGAGACGATGCAGTGGTTGTAGTAACGGTGCTAGAGCTGCGAGCACTGGCGCCACTGCTGGCTGAAGTTTCACTGGTAGATGTCGCGGGTGATGGGATAGACGTAGTTATCTTGAAGAAGACGGGTGAATGACGAATTGATGATACAGGCAAATGGGAAGAATGAAAGGGAAGGATAAGAACAATCGGAGGTGCTTCTTCCATGCTTGAGATCCTAAGTGAATGCTGGATGATGCTGGTCACCCACGTATGCGCACAACTAAACTGCGTGGGCGTACAAGTGGGTTGCTACATTTGCATACTGCCCACACCATGCAGTGGGTGCGTGGGCGGTCGACCCAAGCAAGGATGGCCCCTGCTGATTAACTCCATTTAAACGATTGCTCTAAATGACAATACCCCAATTCTCATTAATTATTCATAAACTTTGCAAGTTGTTTTACACAAAGTTCCTTATAGTAGCAGTTTCTAACCATTGCAGATAGTTAGATATACGAAAAGTGTATCAGCAAATTAAAAAATAAATCTTAGACAATGTAAAAGTATGTGAGAAAGAATAAAAAGAAAATAGCCACCTTGCCAACACTATCTAGACAATGGGCTCTCATATAACTTTATGCTTCACAGAAACTGCTTTTATTTACCTCCTCTATAGGGACACAGAGGGATTTAGTGATAAAAGGCTCCAGAGTTGAGATATGACCATCAGTGGAGTAAAAATGGGCCACAACTCACCAATAAAATAACAGTGTAAAAACTAAAAAGTATTCCTATAATTGATTTCACGACCTTGCAAGTACAACTTGGTCATTATTAAGACTTATAGAGGTTCTCTCTACCTTATAATGCTCCTAGAGAAGTCTTTAGACAGTATCTCTATGCTCTCTTGCTGTTAGAAAGCTCTTAACTTTGTCCCATGTGTAAGCCGCCATTTTGTTTGCCGTGGCCACACCCACTCACGTAAAGGAGCGTGGGCGGGTGGTTACATACACACATGGATAAGAAACAGGAAGTGATATTGATGTGCCATGCTATGCATGCTCTTGACGCCGGATATG